AGCCGGGCCGTGAGGTGGGTGGGGTGGGTGGGTGCCTCGAAGCCTCAGCCGGGCCATGAGGTCGGTGGGTGGGTGGGTGGCTCAAGAAGCTCGTGCACGTGAACGGAGGTGCAGAGGCACGTGGTCTGAGAAAAAACGCAACGCAGCTCGAGGCGCCCGTGTGCGTCGGAGAAGACTGCTGAGCCGGAGATTCCAGATCCTCATGCACTCCAGATTCGCACTCGATCGCGTATCGCATTGGCGCCAGGGAGTGATCACTTCACTCGATCACCATCACCGCCGCCGCCGAGGCCGCCGCCGCTGCCGCCGCCGCTGCCGCCGCCGCCGCCGCCGCCGTCATTGCCACCACCGCAGCTGCCACCACCGCCACCAGCAGCATTTGCGTCGGGTGCCGTCCCGATGCCATCCTCCGCTGCGCCGTCGGCGGACGAGACACGACACGCTGCTGCGAGAGACTCTCTGCCGAGCCGGACAGAAGACGGACACGCCACAGGAGGGGCGGAGGATCCGCACAGACCGCCGCCACACGCTCTGCCGAGCCGGCTCGACGACGAAGCTCGAGGCGCCTCGGCGACTCTGCCGCGGCGGCTAGACGCCGCACTGGTCAAGCTCTGCCCAGGCCGGAGGAGGCAGGAGCTGCGCGCCGCCATCGGGGAAGGTCGCGTCTCTGTCGATGGCATCAGCGACGGCCTCTTGCCGACAACCACGGTGCGCCCGTTCTGCCGGATAGCATTGGACGGTATTATCGTGCACGAGCGACGGGCGTACTACGTCCTGCTGAACAAGCCCGCCGGAGTGGTGTCGGCTACGAGAGACGCGGCTGCGGTGTGCGCGGTGGACATCCTGGCGCGAAGTGGACAGCCAACGGACTCCTCAACGCAGGCGGCGGACCTCGTGGCCTGGCGCGGCGAGCTGTGCATTGCGGGGCGGCTGGATCGCTGGACGACGGGGCTGCTCCTGCTGACAAACGACGGCCGCTTCGCAAGGAGGGTGACGGATGGCGGCGGGTCAGTGGAGAAGGAGTATCGCGTGGCCACTCGTCTTCCGATCGACGACCTGGGCGCAGCGCGGCCGTCATGTCCCGCAATCTCGGCGTCATCATCGGCGCGGTATCGGGTGTGGTGCGTGCGCTGTAGGCGCAGCGGTGGCCGCCTTTGCTGGCGGGCTCTACCTGCCGGACAACCAAAGGACTTGTCGGCCGGCGAAGCTGTCGCAGGTGGCGGGCGTGGCGGGCGAGGGCGCGGACCGCACGTACCTCGTCACTCTGTGCGAGGGGAAGCGGCACCAGGTCAAGTGCATGGTCAACGCCGTCAGCGGCGGCGGGAACCGCGTCGTGGCGCTGCACCGCTCGAGGGTCGGCGGGCTAGTGCTCGACGAGGCGGCGCTGCCGGCCGGCGCTTGGAGGCTACTGACGGAGGAGGAGGTGAGGCGCCTCGACGGCGCACCCACCGCAGCGCCAGCGGAGGAGCGGAGGGAAGGGACGGCGGCTGGGGCCGCGTGATAGGCCGCTCTGAGAGGTGGGCGTTTTTATTTATTTAGCTCTCAACAACGAGTGACAAGACACATGAGGTGACTGTGATGAGGTGGGCCTGCTCCTCCAAACTGCCCTCCTGCCCTCCTGCGGCCTCCCTACTCGCGTCCGAATTGCTGCCCCTGGATCGCTGTCCTCTCCGCCGCTGCTGTCCTCTCCGCCGCTGCTGTCCTCTCCGCCGCTGCTGTCCTCTCCGTCAGAGGATGTAGGCGTGGGCGGCCGGCTCGCCCACATCTCGATCTTCTTCGGCTCCAGCTGGCGCTCATGGTTGCCGTGGCCCACCTCATTGCCGTGGCCCATATCTTTAACTCCTTCGCCCCAGCTCCAGAAGGAACCGTCAGCGGTGAGGGCGAGGCCGTGCGCCTCTCCAGCCGCCACAGCGACGACGCGCTGGCCAGCAAAGGCCTCGACCTTCTTCGGCAGCAGCTGGTACTGCGTGTCGCCGTGGCCCAGCAGGCCGTAGCGTCCAACGCCCCAGCTCCAGACTGCGCCGTCGGCGGTGAGGGTGAAGCTATGATTCTGGCCAGCCGACACAGCGACGACGCGCTGGCCAGCAAAGGCCTCGACTTTCTTCGGCAGCAGCTGGCTCTGCACGTCGCCGTGGCCCAGCTGGCCAAAACCTCCACCCCAGCTCCAGACAGCTCCGTCGGCGGTGATGGCGAGGCTGTGGTGGGCTGCAGCCGACACAGCGATGACGCGCCGGTCAGCAAAAGCCTCGATCTTCTTCGGCAGCAGCTGGTTCTGCTCGTCGCCGTGGCCCAGCTTGCCTAAGCCTCCACCGCCCCAGCTCCAGGCAGCGCCGTCGGCGGTAAGGGCGAGATTGTGCCATACTCCAGCCGACACAGCGACGACGCGCTGCCCCGCAAAGGCCTCGATCTTCTTCGGCAGCAGCTGGTGCTGCTGGTCGCCGTGGCCCAGCTGGCCAGAGGCTCCATAGCCCCAGCTCCAGACAGCGTCGTCGGCGGTGAGGGCCAGGCTGTGGAACGCTGTAGCCGACACGCTCATGGCACGCTCGCCGCCCAGCATCGACGGGAGCCGCGTCGGCGTGTGAAGCCGCGTCACGCCCTCGCCGTGGCCAAGGACCTCTTGAGCCGTTCCGCACGACGAGAGCCGCCCCTCGCCGTCGATGAAGAGGCTGTGCCAATTGCCTGCCGCCAGCCTCGCCGGCGGGTTGGCCGCGCGCAGCAAGGCAGCGAGGCACAGCCACCGCACGGCGCAGCTCGCCCTCGGGCTGCGCCGGCAGCTCGAAGCCGCGCTCTTGCGCCCACAAGCGGATGGCCTCCGTCGCGAGCGAGGCGTGGAAGAGCAGCGAGACGGCCGCGACGCGAGCGATGTCGACGGGGCCGTCGAGGCGAGAGAGGGCGCGCAGGAGGAGGTCCGTGGGGAGGTCGAGGAGGCGGGCGGGCGGCGGCGTGTCTGGCGAGGGGGCGGCGGAGGAGGTGGCGGCGAGGCGGGGTGGACATATAAAAATTCCCCCACTTATCATCGCGAGAAAAAGACTTTGGGCGCGCCGCTCATCGTCAAGGCGATGATGGCTATGGCAGAAAAAGAATCTACAGTAAAAGAAAACGCGCTTCGCGCGGTGTCTCGAACATCGATTCGACACCATGGCAGAGACTGAGCTCGAGGCCCTCGCCCTGCAGGAGGCGGACAAGGTGGTGACGGAGACGCTCAACGCGCGCGCCGCCGCCCTCGCGCAGCTCGTCGTGCAGGCCTGCCCGCCCAAGCCGCTGTCCGAGCTCGAGGAGTCGTACAAGGCGTGCGGCTCCGGCACCAACAAGGCCGTGGCCGGCCTGCTGCGGACGGTGCGCGAGGAGGCGGCGGCGGCGGTGGACCACCTCAAGCAGGCGGAGCTGTGGCTCATCCTCAAGGCGCCTGCCGTCAGCGACGGCAACAACTTTGGCGTCGAGGTCCAGGCGTTTGTGCTCGGCGAGCTGAAGGCGCTGCGGACGGGCTTCTCGGCGATGGTGGCTCTGCCGGCAGAGTACCACCAGGCGCGCGCGCAGGGCCTCGAGAAGGTTGCGCAGGACTCGAGCAAGGACCACGACGAGAGCAGTACAACCGAGACGGAGACGAGCACCGAGGAGGGCAAGACCAAGGAGAAGAAGGTCGTCAAGACAGTCAACAAGTGCTCCCAGGGGTCGAAGAGCAAGCCGACGCTCGCAGACTACGAGGACTACACCGCCGCCCTCGACGTCAAGCGCGCGACCGCCCGCCGCGAGTAAGGGCGCCCGCCGACGGACCTCCGCCAGCCTCACCGCCGCCCTGGACTGCTTGCTGCCGTAGGCACTATCACCTTGGCAAGGAGGCGCTTGTCGACCTGAGGAACGGGTACATGAAGGCGCGGGAGGGTAGCCGAGAGGGAGCCGAGAGGGAGCCGAGAGGCTGCCGGCCGTTCCGAGGCGCAGCCGGCCCTTCCCCCCCTCTCCCCCTCCCCTCCCCTCCCGTGGCTGCACTCTTGAGCAAGAACCCGCCCGAGACACGCCCGAGACACGCCCGAGACACGCCCGAGGCACGCCCGAGACACGCCCGAGACACGTCCGCAGGCGGCTGCGCTCTTCAACAAGAACCTGAAGCGGCTCTCCGACCCGCGCGGGGAGGTGCCTCATCTCCCCCATATCTCCCCCATATCTCCCCCATATCTCCCCCATATCTCGTGGGGAGGTGCTCGGCGGTGCGCGGCTCGCGCTTGCGTCAGGCGCCGTCTGCCAACCCCCTCCCGCACCCTCTCCGATAGGCGTCCGGCGGAGGGTACAAGAACACGATGTCCATGTTCTGAGAGGGAGGAGGCTCGGTGGGGCGGCGCGGCGCGGCGCGGCTGGTCTCGCCCCCGCGCACTGGACCACCGCGGGTTTGCGCGGCGGACGGCGGTGTCATCGGCGTTGGCGGTCCGGCGGGCGGGCGGGGCGTCGCCGTTTTACGGGCGGAGAGGTCAGAGGAGCTGCAGAGCGTTTTCATTGGGCCCACACTGCTCGAGCTCTCCGTCGATAGATGTGAGATCACGGCAGGGCGCCAAGGCGTGGAGGATGTGTATTCCGTCTGTGTTTGGATGTTGTCGTACACTGATCACTTGTCACAGTGGACCACGCGCAATGCCGCAAACCGAGATATTCGCCGATAACACCGTGTGTTCGTCCTGTTTGAGACCGCCGATGTGCGAATCTCCACAATCTGCGCGAGGCCTCGGCGCCGGGGCCGCCCTCCAGAGGCACATGCAGGACCTAGAGGCCGTCCGCGCCGGGTCGGCCAACTCTAGGCCCAATGCGGCGCGGCGCGCGCTCCTCTGCGCCCCGACGGCGCTCGCGGGCAGCGTGAAGACCAGCCGGCGAAGCTCAGACCCCGTCCACCGCTTCAACTTCACCAGAGGCGCCCCCCCTTCACCCCCGCGCGCCCTCAGTGCCACCCGCCACGCCGGGCGCTAGGCCGAGCTCTCTCCGCCACGCCGCCGCCTCGAGCTTAGCGTGGAGCGCCTCCCACTGCCCCAGCCGCGCGCGCAGCTCGGCGACGCTCGCACCATCGCCGCCGCCGCCGCCGCCGCCGCCCCAGCCGCCCGCGGCGCCGTCGGGGAAGAGGGTGGCGGAGGCGTCGCCGCCGTAGCCGCAGAGCAGGGGCAGCTCGGGGGCGTGCGTGGCGGGGCCGAGGGGGGAGGCGGCGGAGGCGTCGGCCCAGCCCCCCTCGAGAAGGAGGGGGACGCACCTGCAGCGGCGGCGAGGAGGCAGCCACTCGGTGACGACGAGTAGGGCGGCGACCCTCCCCCGGCTGCAGGTTGGGGGTGTGGTGCGGGGGCGGTCGGGGGGGGGAGGCGGCACGAGGGGGGGGGGGGGGGGGGGGGGGGGGGGTTC